GAGTCCCCGGGTCGGCCCGCGCGCTGTATGACCTTGGCCCGAGCCTCACACGCTCCGATCTCTCTTCTTGTGGGGGTCCGGGCCCCAGAACAAACGTGTGTAGTCTCCCCTGGTCCCATGTCTCTCCCTGGTGGCCTCCAGCACCTGGTCCTGCTGGTTATCAGTTTTGTGCTCTGGCTACTTCGTCATCAGGGAGAGAAATCTGTAATTGTTCACGGACATGCTGCAGCCTCCCGGGAAGCGTTCTAGAAAACTTCCTATCTGTGGTCACTTTTTGCTGGCCAGAGTGACCAAGACGGTCCCCCAGGCAGGGACTGCTCTGACCACCCACCTCGCGTCCCTCCCCCCACCTCTGGAGACTCTGCTGGGCATCTTCCCAGTCCCTCAACTTGCCTTCTAGTCTCACAGGCAGGAGGTGGGCCGGTCCCTGAAAGTGGCACCTTTCATCTTGGGCAAAAACAAAACAGAAAACTGCGGGCAGTGGGACCTATCTTCCCTATAGGCTCATGGCCACCAAGATGTGTCTGGCAAACCCTGGGCTGGGGTAGAGGTTCTGTCTGGCAGGGAGTACAACAAGCTGTAGTGTTTGCATAATTATTAATTATTTATTTCATAAATCCGAAGCCATAGAGGCTCAGGAAGCCAGGGATGAATAAGGATGTGAATTGCAATCAGGATGCATGCAATACTTCCTGGATGGCTGGTGCCACACAGGGGGCTCCAGGCTGTGTGCAACTGGGGACCAACTCCTCACCCTTTCACCATCCCTTCCTTCCCCACTCTCCAGAAAGATGCGGTTTAGCCCTCCTCTAGTGTTGGGAATGAGGGAAAGGGTTGGTGTCTGCATACAAAGGAGAGAAAACCTGGAATTAGGAAATTGCCATAGGAAGTTTCAGCTTCAACAGTGTCCTTCTGAGCCAGACACCAGTGGCTCATGCCTGTAATCCAGAGGCTGAGATCTGAGGATCATAGTTTGAAGCCAGTCTGGTCAGGAAAGTCCAAAAGACTCTTATCTCCAATGAACCATCAAAAAGCTGGAAGTGGAGCTGTGGCTCATGTGTAGAACCCTAGCCTGCAGACTTAGGGACAGTGCCAAGGCCCTAAGTTCTATCCCCAGTACCAGCATTTAAAAAAAAAAAAAGCCAGTCTGGGGTGGCCACGTGCTGAATTTCTTTGCAGATGAGTTGACAGGATTTGGGCTGGTGTTTGCAGGTCTGGTAGAACTTTATGGTGACCAGGAATGGTATGTGTGCCTGCTTCCTTAGTTCAGCAGACATTGTTAAATGTGCACGTGCCAGGTGCCAAGTTGGGCTGGAAGCTGGAAAGTGGGGTCTGCCCACCCTGGGCAACTGGCTTTGGCCTGGGAGTTCATGCATATTAGAGACTCTGCTTTGGGCATTGATAGAGCATGAAGAGTTCTGGGAGAAGACATAGGAATTGAGCTTTGCTGTTTGGGGAGAACATTCTAGGTGGAGGCAGCTGTGTGGACAGAGGTGTGGAAGTAGACATGTTTGGGATATGCTCAGTTACTGTGTTCACCTGGATGGGGTTCAGGATTGGGTAGAAAGATAGGTTTCTTTTCTTTTCTTTTCTTTTTGTTTTTTGGCCTGGCTCCATCTGGACTGTGATTCTCCTACTTATGCTTCCTGGGTAGCTGGGATTACAGGTGTTTAACCACCATGCTCAGCTTTGGAAAGCTAAGTGTCTGATTGTGAAAGGTCTGGAATGATGATGCATTGTGAAATGAGCCCTGGAGGCTTGGAGTGGGTATGTCTGTTCTGCTCTGGCTATACTAGTGGTAATGGGAAGGGAGGGGTGTGTTCAGGGTCTGGGGAGGTGCAGGCTGCTTTGTGGAGCAGCAGCTGAGAGTGAGAGGGAGGGAGGGAGGAGGCCGAGGTAGCAGATTTCTCACTGAGAGTGGAGCTGGAGAACGGTAGGGATGGGGAAGATGGGTTTCTGTGCTGTTAGGGTTTGAACCCAGGGTCTTCCCCAGGCCTCGTGTGATTGTGAGATGTGTAGAATTCGGGGGTGCTTGTTAGCCATCAGGGTGAGGGGTGCCTGCTGAAGGTGAGGAACCCTAGGGAAAACCAGCAAGATCCTGTATATGCAGTTTCTCTCCTGCTTCTGTATATCTTTCTTCTTTGACCTCCACAGGATCCAGGCTGCAGGAGCTTCATTCTAGAGAGGCCCAGGGCAGAAGGTTGCCTGGGATAGAAAGCAGCTGGCTGTAGGTAAATGAGACCTTGTTAGTCTACCATGTACAAACAACATAGGAGCCGGGCACCCATGGCTCACACCTGTAAACCTAGCTACTCAGGAGGCTGAGATCTGAGGATCACAGTTTGAAGCCAGTTTGGATGGGAAAGCCAGTGAAACTCTTATCTCCAGTTAACTGCCAGAATGTCAGAAGTGGAGCTGTGGTTCAAGTGGTGGAACAGCAGGTCACTGTAAGTTTCACACTCACAGAGGAGCTGGCCAGTGGTAGCCCTGGCTTGTGGCCTGGGCTTGTGGCCACCCCAGCCCACAGATGTGTCTGAACATAACTCCATCTCTAACATGGTTTCCTGCTTTTGTGGAGGATGGGGTTTCCTCTAACTATTTTGGCTACAGGCTTGGTTGAGGGGAGGGGCTGTGACCAGCTGGGCCCCTCCCTCCATGCCAGAGGAAGACTCAAGAGCAAAGACCTCAAATTCGTGACATTGGTGGGCTCTCCCCACATAGGGCCGCCCAGCTGGATTTCTTGCCAGTAGATCTCATAATAGCCTGGCCCAGGATTCTCAGCCTCTCGTTCCTTCATGCCCCATCCTGAAATCTCAGCAGCTAAGCAGGATGGTGAGGCAGCTATAGGCCACAGCAGATGGAGGCCAGAATGAGCAGAAGGAACACTTGGGTCTCTGATGTCTTTACTGCTGCTGTGGGGAGCAGGAGAGTGGGAGCATTTGTGGATAAGAACAGAGCCTGGGCTATCCTCCATGCTCAATCCTCCTCCCTCTGCCTCCTGGCTAGCTGGGATTACAGGCATGTACCACTGCACCCAGCCTTCCTGAATAGCTCTGTAGAGTCCAATCTTCCTGGGTGGAAGGGATTCACCCCGTGTTCAGCCCCAAGAAGGAAAGCACAGGTATGTTCCAACACCTGCCCCCCTTCCTCTCCCCCACTGCCATGCTCCTCAGGTTCCAGAGCAGCCATCAGAGCTGTACAGAGAGAGACGCTGAACTTCAGGCAAGAGTTGGGGAAGCCAAGTTGGAAGGTGTGTGTGACACTGTGGGCTGGGAATTAGCTGGTAAGGGACCTTGGGTGGCCTACTCCAAAGCACTCTGCTGCAAGGTTTCAGAAGTGGGGCACAAGGAAGACTGCTTCTAGAAAAGAAAAAAATGCACCCCAGGTGGAAAGCTTTGCCTGCACTGAGGGGCAGGCCCGGCTCCCCGAGCTCCGCAGCACAAAATCCCACTCAGGCCTGGTCAGTGCCAGTGGGCTCCACAAGCCCCCCAAATTTTAAGGAGGTGTCTAACGGCATGGGTGCCATCTTCATCACTGTCCCTTGACTCCGAGGGTGAGAGACACCCTGCAGGGGTGGGGTCAGGGGTCCTGTGGGGGACTCTCTGGACAGGAGGTGATGGGCCGCCTGGGTTATCCAAGTGCATAGGAAGCAGGGAGGGAAGGCGAGCACAGTCTGTTATTAACTCCAGGGAAAGAGAGCAGGGATCAGGAAGGAAGCATGAGGGTACACCCTGCTGTACCCCGGGAGTGGCTCCACCCCAAGGTCAGTGGGGGAGGTGGTGGCCAGCATGGGAGGGGGGTGCTGCTTCCCAGTAGGCGCAGGGGGAACCACACAACCCGAGTGACCTTTGCTGCAGATGGCCTGCGTCCCCTGTCACCTGTGGCTTTGCCCTGCCTGCTCTGTCCGGGACCTCTGCAGGACCTGAGCCCTGGGCTCATTTCCCCTCAGCTTGACCATTGTTCTCTGTATCCTGTCTCCTGGCTATGACCACCTCAGAGCTTCAGCACTGTCATTAGTGTGTGTGTGTGTGTGTGTGTGTGTGCACACTGGGACTTGAACTCAGGGCCTAAGCACTGTTCCAGTGTTTCTCTGTGCTCAAGGCGAGTGCTGTACCACTTGAGCCACAGCACCACTTCCAGTTTTTTCTGAGTAGTTTGTTGGAGTTAAGAGTCTCACGGATTTCCCTGCCCAGGCTGGTTTTGAACTGCAATCTTCAACTCTCAGCCTCCTGAGTAGCTAGAATTACAGTGTGACCCACCAGTGCCCAGCATGTGAAGGGATTTTTAGATGGCCCCAGGAGCTGAGAGAGTGACTAAGTCCCTGTTTTTAGCTGTCATCCAGCGTCAGTAGGTGGGACCTGAGCAGATGTCACATTTGTGTCTCTGTCACGGGCCATGCACCTAGCGCTGCCCGAGCCTGCAGGGCACAGTGGAGGTAGACAGGACAGTGACCAGGATCCAAGGTGGAGATGGAGGCACGCGTGGAAGCCTGGCCTCCAGCAGGCCCGGGGCCTCATAAGTGGAGCAGTTTGGTCTCTGGGATGTGAGTGGCCCTCCAGAGGGACAGGGACAGGAAATGAATGAGCTGGTCATGGTGGCTGGAGGAGCTAGGAGCAGAGCCCAGCCTGGTCAGGCGGTCACCAGAACACGATGGCCCTCAACAGTATCTCCACAGGACTGGAGGCCGGAGGCAAGGACAGGCCATCACAGCCATGCAGATGAGGGCTGAGGGGGGTTAGAATAGGGTGAGGGTTTAGAGGGCACAGGGCGGGGAGAGGGAGGCACTGGAGAGATGCTACAAGAAAGCCCAACCACGTTCTTAAACTTTCTTCCTTTGAAGGCTTTTGTTTTTGCAGTACTAGGATTTGAACTCAGGGTCTTGTGCTGGCTAAGCAGATACTTTACTACTTTAGCCATGCCTCCAGACCAGCATTTTGCTGCCTAACCAGAGATGGACTCTTGGACTTTTCTGACTAGGCTGACTTGAACTGTGATTCTCCAGATGTCAGGAGGAGATGATTACAAGCATGTGCCACCATTTTTACATTGGTTGTTTCCATGGTTATTTCCAAGGTAGGTTCTGGTTTATCCCTGGGCTACCTGGGTCTCAGTCCTCTTGACCATCCCTGAATTACAGGGACAGATCGGTGTGTGCCTGTGTGTTTCTTCTGTAGCTGAGATGACAGGTACACACCACCATGTCCACCCATTGGTTGAGATGAGGGTTCTCAAATTTTTCTACTTTAGTTGCTGTGGAGGCTTAAGCCTCTGCCCTAGTCCTATAGGCATTTCTTTTCTTTCTTTCTTTCTTTTTTTTTTCTTTTGTCAGTCATGGGTCTTGAACCCTGGGCCTGGGCACTGTCCTTGAGCTCTTCAGCTCAAAGCAAATGCTCTACCACTTGAGCCACAGTACCACTTCTGGTTTTCTAGTGTTTAATTGGATATAAGAGTCTCACGGACTTTCCTGCCCAGGCTGGCTTTGAACTGGTATCCTCTGATCTCAGTCTCCTGAGTAGCTAGAATTACAGGCATGAGCCACTGGCGCCTAGCTTAGGCATTTCTTTGAATTGACCTAATTCTTATAAAAGTTGCCTCTTGGGATGGGAATGTGGCTTAGTGGTAGAGTACCCACCTAAGCATGCATGAAGCCCTGGGTTCGATTCCTCAGTACCACATATATAGAAAAAGCCAGAAGTGGTGCTGTGGCTCAAGTGGTAGAGGTCTAGCCTTGAGCAAAAGCAGTTCAGGGACAATGCTCAGGCTCTGAGTTCAAGCCCCAGGACTGGCAAAAAAAAAGTTTCCTCTTGGGCTATGCGATGAGTATTTGGATGCTGTGTGGAGTTAGGACATGCGTCAGACAGTCTCTGTCTCTTGGGATCCTGGGCTTCCAGGCCCAGGCTCCTGTCCTGTCTGCTCACGAGAGGTGAGAGAAGGTGGCCAAGTGCCAGGACAGCAGGGGAGGAAGAGGCGGGCTGGGTGACAGCCCCACCCAGGCCAGCTCTTCGGACGCCGCCTGGCATCAATGGGACCATTTATGACTTATTTTTATTTGGCTGTTTGCAGGGTTAGCGGAACACAGACAGAGTCATTTTATAAGCAAATAAGCCCGGATCCTGGCGGTGGCAGGAGAAAACAGCCATGAACCCACTGTGGCCTGGGCAGTGGGGCTCCCCACTAACAGAAACTTTCCAGCCTAGTGGTCTCCGGCAGGGGGGATTGCAAAAGGAGTGTTTTATTTTATGTTTAGTTTTTACCTGTCCTAGAGCTTGAACTCAGGGCCTGGGCACTGTCCCTGAGCTGTTTTGCTCAACCATAGCTCCATTGCTGCCTTTTTGGTGGTCTGTTGGAGATAAGTGTCTTACAAACTTTCCTGCCCCGGCTGGCTTCAAACTGTGATCCTCAGATCTCAGCCTGGGATGACAGGTGTGAGACACTGGTGCCCAGGGTGATCACCTTGATTCCATGTTTGGTTAGCTAGAAGAGCAGCCAGCTCTGCCACTCCATGCCAGACACGCAAGAAAACGAAACGCTCTTGGGTTTCTGATGAAGCTCATGTCCCTTGATTTAGTCCTCAGGGGCTTGGTTATTTTGCCAAAATTAAGCAAATTTTCTGAGAGAAAAATAAAATCCAAATGGCATTCATGTCCTGTACAGGCCAGTCAGCGAGGGGATGTGGAGCTGGTCAGTTCAGGCTATTTTTCTTTTCTTTTTGTTTTTGTTTTTTTGTCATAGGGCTTGAACTCTGAGCCTGAGCACTGTCCCTCAGCTCTTCAGCTCAAGGTGAGCGCTCTACCACTTGAGCCACAGCACCACTTCTGGCATTTTGCTGGGTAATTGGAGATTCAAATCTCAAGGACTTTCCTTCTTAGGCTGGATTTGAATCTTGATCCTCAGATCTCAGCCTCTGGAGTAACTAGGATTACAGTCCATCTAGCTAACTTTTTTTCATCTCAATTACTATGGGTATTAGAGAAATCAATCTCCACATTAATTGTCCAAACAGCTGGGGACTGCACTTTTGTTTGTTTATCTGTTTTTGTTTTTGTTTTTTGGGTCCAGTCATGGGGCCTGAACTCTGGGCCTGAGTACTGTCCCTCAGCTCTTCAACTCAAGGCTAGCGCTCTACCACTTGAGCCACAGCACCACTTCTGGCTTTTTTCTTTTTTGCTTATGTGGTGCTGAGGAATCAAACCCTGGGCCTCAGGCATGCAAGGCAAGCACTCTACCACTGAGCCACTTTCCCAGCCCCTGTTTACCTGTTTGTTTGTTTTTTGTCTTTGTGCTTGCTAGATAGTTGTTCTACCACTGACCGTGTCACACCTCCAGCACTTTTTACTCTGGTCATTTTTCAGATAGGATCTCACATTTATGTCCAAGCCAGCCTGGACTGTGATCCTCCTATATGCGCTTCTTACATAGCTAGGATGACAGGCATATACCACAATGCCCAGCTTTTATTGATTGAGGTGAGGGTCTTGCTAAGTTTTTGTCTGGACCAGCCTTGAATCATGATCCTTGCAATCTTTCCCTCTAGAGTGGCTGGAATGACAGACAGGAGTCATTGCACCTGGCCTCTTGAATGAGTGTGTGCATGAATATGGTATGTCTTCAGTCCCCTTGGATGGCAGTGGAGAGGCAGGCTGTGTGATGTGTATGTGCCACTGTGTGGGAGCTGCCAGCTGCCCACTGCCCTGCCCCATGCTTATGCCATTCTGCAGCTTTGGAGGGCATCACTATGACCCTCAGATCTCTTTTACATTTCCTCTCTGCTGGGCGAGTTTCTCTTCCTCTGTGACTAAGGATGATGAGCTTTTTTCTCTGTGCATTTTGACTTTGCATGTCTTTGGGTGGTGTCTGTTCTTCCTGAGTTGGGTTGTGTTACCTTTTTTTTTTTTTCCTTCTGGTCCTGGGGCTTAAACTCTGGGTCTGGTCACTGTCTCTGGGCTTCTTTTGCTCAAAATGAGGGCTCTACACTTGAGCCACAGCACCACCTCCTTTTTTTTTTTAATGTAGTTTATTGGAGATAAGAGTCTTATAGACTCTCCTGCCAGAGCTGTCTTCTAACTGTGATCCTCAAATCTCAGCCTCCTGAGTAGCTAAGATTACAGACATGAGCCACTGGTGCCTGGCACACTTTTTTTTTTTTTTTGCCAGTCCTGGGGCTTTAACTCAGGGCCTGGGCACTGTCCCTGCTTCTTTTGCTCAAGGCCAGCACTCTACCGCTTGAGCCACAGCACCACTTTTGGCTTTTTCTGTTTATGTGGAACTGAGGGATTGAACCCAGGGCCTCATGCATGCAAGGCAAGCACATTCTCTGCCTCTGAAATGCTCTTTTTTTCTTTCTTTTTTTTTTTTTTTGGTGGGTTGTGGGGCTTGAACTCTGGGCCTGGGCGCTGTCCCTCAGCTTTTCAGTTCAAGGCGAGTGCTCTACCACTTGAGCCACAGCGTCACTTCGTATTTGTTGGTGGTTAATTGGAGACAAGAGTCTCATGGACTTTCCTGCCCAGGTTGGCTTTGAACACAGCCTCTGATCTCAGCCGTGAGCCACCAGCATCTGGCTTTAATTTTCTTCGTGGTAAGATTTGCAGAGCCTGGGTTTTGAATTCCGGGAAAATCAAAGCCGATTTTTCCCTTACAGCTTGTGTTGCTGGCATCCTCACACGCCTCTGCCTCCCCACGGCGGTGGCAGTGTTTCTTTTCCTGTGAAGATGTTACAATCTGGTGCCCATGTACAGGACAGTGAGGTTCAGTGTGGTGGGGAGTGGGGTGCAGGGCCGTTCCACACACCCCCATTTGACGCGCAGTTGCTCTATCCTGGCTGGTGAAAGGCCGTCCCCTCCTCAGTGGGTGGTAGACCCTGTGTGGGGCCATCCCCTCGAACCCTGTTCTGTCTTGGCTGCCTGTCCATCGCATGCACCGGCTCTCCCTTCTATCTGGAAACACCGGCGTGTGTGTTGCTACTCACAAGCTTGTTTTGGCCATTCTAGCTGCCTTTCATTTCCTCATACCTTTAAAAATGTGTCAGTCTCTACAAACAGCCGCAGCTGTCATAGTCTCTGGAATGCACAGACCTGATCACACTGAGGCTGTGTGCCTGCGTGCTTCACAGCGCTCTCTGTTCACTTGGAGTTGCAATTCTTGTGTGTGTTGGGGTGGGGGGAGGGGGATTTGTGTTGGGATTTGAACTCAGGGCCTTGCACTTGCTAGTTGGAGCTCCACCACTTGAGCTATGCCCCCAGCCCTTTATTGCTTTATTTTTCAGACGGAGCCTCACATTTCTAGTTGGAGCTGGCCTTAGAGATTGCGATCCTCCTGTGCTCTCTTCAACTCCTGCTTCATTCTTGGCTGTCCATCTGCCCTGATCCTCTTAGTTCCGTGTCCAAGGACCACTCTGCCCCAAGCTTTCTAGGTCTCTCTAGAAAGATCTAGTCCCCTCAGGCCTTCAAGGCTATTTATCCTTCCTGCTCAGCTCTCAGCATGAATATCAGCTGAAGGGCCAGTCCAGAATCAATCTGGTTACTTGCACTTCCAATAGCTTTTAAATGATGGGTTCAGCTTTATTTGTGAGCGCAGGGTCATTGCTTTTAGTGGCTTGTGGTTTTCAATGAATAGTTCATTTCATCCATCTTGCTGAATTTGTGAGTGTAAAGTTGTCTGAAGTACCTTTTTTATCCTTGTGTCCTGTCTTCATAAGACTCTGACTATAAATTTATCAACATTTTTTTTTGTAATATTGGTGATTGAACTTTGCCTCACCCTTGCTCGGCAGATACTCTTCCATTTGAGCCACACCCCAGTCTTTTTGCTTTAGTTGCTTTTCTGATAAGGTCTGGTGCTTTTCCCAGGCCAGCCTGGACCACAGTCTTCTCTGTGCCTGAGTAGTTGGGATCGCAGGGGTGTACTACCATGCCTGGTTTGTTTTTGGTGGTGGTGGTGGTGGTGGCGGTGGTGGTCGTGGGGCTTGAACTCTAGGCTTGGGCACTGTCCTTGAGCTTCTTTTGCTCAAGGCTAGCACTCTACCACTTGAGCCACACGTCATTTCCAGCTTTGTCTGAGTAGTTTATTGAAGATAAGAGTCTCACAGACTTTCTTGCCTGGAGTGGCTTGAAACTGGGATCCTCAGATCTCAGCCTCCTGAGTAGCTAAGTTACAGGTGTGAGCTGTTGGTGCCTAGCTTGCTAACTTTTTCTAGGACCAGCTTGGTCTGTGATTTTCCTACTTCTGCCTCCCAATGTTTTTTGTAAAACTAGCTCTTTTGCTCAGCGCTGGTATCCCTGCTGCTTAGGAGACTGAGATCTGAGGATTATGGTTCTAAGCCAGCTTGGGCAGGAAAGTCCGTGATACTCCGATCTCCAGTTAATGACCAGAAAACCAGAAGTGGCATTGTGGCTCAAAGTGGTAGAGCATTAGTTTTTTCCACTCAAGATTGACACTCTACCACTTGAGCCACAGCTTCACTTCCAGCTTTTGCTGCCTAATTAGAGGTAAGAGTCTCACAGACTTTCTTGCCTATGCTGGCTTTGAACCGTGATCATCAGCTCTCAGCCTCCTGAGTAGATAGGATGACAGGCCTGAGCCACCCACATGGCTAACCTAGTTTTTCATTTCATTGATTTCTGCATTTTTTTTTTTGGTCTTTATTTCTTTCTGGTTGCCTTTGGTTTCTTCTGCTCTTTCTTCCCTAGTTCCTGAGGGGGGAGCTTGGATGAATGGTTTGCAGTCTCCCCTTTTCCAGTGCTGTCAGCTGCAGCCTGCAGATTTTGGTACATAGCACTTCCATTTTCTTTCAGTCCTGTGGCTTTTCAGAAATTCCTTTTGAGGCATCTGCAAGCCATGGATTGTGTAGAAATGACTCATTGACTTTGCAAGTGTCTGCAGATTTTCCTGTTGTCTTTTACTGATTTCTAGTTTTTACTTTTTTTTTTTCCAAGACTGGGGTTTGAACTCAGGTCCCAGGCACTATCCCTCAGCTTCTTTTGCTTAAGACTAACACTCTACCACTAAGCCACATTCCCAGCCCCTGATTTCTAGTTTTATTCCACAATGACCAGAGAGTTCTGTACGATTTTATGTACATGTGGCTGGTCTGATCTAGCATGGTGAACGATAAGCACTGCTCAGCACCCCCATCTCGCCTGAGGCTTGGAAAAATGTTTCCTTGTGAAAGGTGCTTTCCAGAGCTGGGAATGAGGCTTAGTGGTAGAGTGCTTGCCTAGCATGTATGAAGCCCCAGGATCCATTCCTCAGTAAACAGGAAAGACCAAAAGTGGCTCTGTGACTCAAGTGCTATCCTTAAGCAAAAGAAGCCCAGGGACAGTACTTAAGTCCTGAGTTCAAGCCCCAGGACTGGCCAAAAAAAAAAAAAAAAGGTGAGTTCTGCCTGCTTCTTTAAAAATTTTTTTTTGTTATTCTAAAGGTGATGTATAGAGAAGTGACAATTATGTAAGTCAGATAAAAGAGTATTTGCCTGTCTCTTATACTTACAGCTCCTGTCGCTTGCTGGTGTTACATTTTTGCTGATTTTGTCTAGTAGTCTCTCAGTGATCAAGGGCAGAGAGTTGAGGTCTCTAACCATAATTGTGAATGCGTCTTAAGTTTTTGCTTTATGTGTTTGGAGGCTCTGTTTTTGTTGGTTTGGTGCCTCTACAGTTAAGAAGAAGATATCTTCTTGGAGGATTGAAGTTTTTGTTATTATGTAATATCCCTCTTTGTCTTGAGCAAGTTTTTCCTTCCAGAGTTTACTTCATCTGATATGAATAGCTACTCCTGCCTTCTTTTGACAAATGTTTGTGTGACTAATGTTTTCTGCCCCCCGGGAAGGGACTAAGGTGGTATGCTGGCCAGCTCTGCCTTGTCTCTGTGCCTGTCCCTGCTGGGCTACCCCACCATGTCCCTGGCATAACACCTAGCTCCTGTGGATGGAGGATGGGCTGGCTACCCACAGGGTGGACTGGAGCAGGTGCCATGTGGCCCACCCCAGGCCTCCACCCCTGGGAGAAGCCCCTGCTTTTCTTTTCCCTCTCTCTCCCTCCCCCTCTCTCTTCTCTTCTCTTCTCTTTTCTTTTCTTTCTTTCTTTTTTGTTGATCCTGGGGCTTGAACTCAGGGCCTGGGCCCTGTACCTGAGATCTTTTGCTCAAGGTTAGCACTCTACCTCTTGAGCCATAGCACCACTTCTGGTTTTCTGGTGGTTAATGGGAAATGAGAATCTCCTGGCCTTTCCTACCTGAGGCTGGGTTTGAAGCACGATCCTCAGATCTCAGCCTCCTCAGTAGCTAGAATTGCAGGTGTGAGCCACTGGCACCTGGCCAGGGAGAAGGCATCTCTAACAAGTGTGCTGTCACCCCTCCAGGTTGCTGTGGGCGCCATGTCCCAGGTATCAGCCCCGCTGCAGTGAGGGAGGCTGGGCACTGCCCGTACTGGCCCGGGCAGCATGGCCAAGGCGCGGCTCTTTCGGCTGTGGCTGGTGCTGGGCTCAGCGCTCATGATCCTCCTCATCATCGTGTACTGGGACAACGTGGGCACGGCCCACTTCTACCTGCACACAGCCCTGTCCCGGCCCCACAGCCCGGAGCCGGCCCCCACCCTGGGGCAGGGCGACGACCTCCAGCTCCCCTCTGAGGCAGACCCACTGCTGAATAAGATCCTCAGCCCCGATGCCGAGACAGCACTGTCCAGAAAGAAGACAGAGCCACCCCCGGTGCTGGTCCCCAGCCCTGGGGCCCGGAGCCCCATGGAGGAGAGCGTGCGGGGCTACGATTGGTCCCCCCACGACGCCCAGAGCAGCCCTGACCAGGGCCAGCAGCAGGCCGAGAGGCGCCGCGTGCTGCAGGGCTTCTGTGCCAATGCCAGCCTGGCCTTCCCCACCAAGGAGCGCGCGTTCGAGGACATCCCCAACTACGAGCTCAACCACCTAATCGTGGACGATCGCCATGGCATCATCTACTGCTACGTGCCCAAGGTGGCCTGCACCAACTGGAAGCGGGTGATGATCGTGCTGAGCGGGAGCCTGCTGGAGCGCGGGGCCCCGTACCGCGACCCCCTGGCCATCCCCCGCGAGCACGTGCACAACTCCAGCACCCACCTGACCTTCAACAAGTTCTGGCGCCGCTACGGCCGCTTCTCCCGGCACCTGATGAAGGTGAAGCTGCAGAAGTACACCAAGTTCCTGTTCGTGCGCGACCCCTTCGTGCGCCTCATCTCCGCCTTCCGCAGCAAGTTCCAGCTGGAGAACGACGAGTTCTACCGCAAGTTCGCCATGCCCATGCTGCGCCGCTACGCCAACCACAGCAGCCCGCCTGCCTCGGTGAGCCAGGCCTTCCGCGCCGGCCTCAAGGTCACCTTCGCACACTTCATCCAGTACCTGCTCGACCCACACACCGAGACGCTGGCGCCCTTCAATGAGCACTGGCGCCAGATCTACCGCCTCTGCCACCCGTGCCAGATCGACTACGACTTCGTGGGCAAGCTGGAGACCCTGGATGATGACGCTGCCCAGCTGCTCAAGCTGCTCAAGGTAGACGGCAGGCTGCACTTCCCCCCCAGCTACCGGAACAGGACGGCCAGCAGCTGGGAGGAGGGCTGGTTCGCCGGCATCCCCCTGGCCTGGAGACGCCAGCTGTACAAACTCTACGAAGCCGACTTTGTCCTCTTCGGATACCCCAAGCCCGAAAACCTGCTCAGAGACTGAATGCCCTGCACCGGGAAGGTGCTCAGAGCGCAGCCACGTGCTTGAGATGGGGGGGACAGGGCCACAGGGGCTCGGCCACCCCCACACTCCCACCCCGCGGGCCAGGGAGCGCCTCACACTCCGTGTTTTGTTTGTTTGTTTTTTTAAAAATAAGCCACTGTTTTGCAATCTGGACTCACCATGCCCGCCACAGCCTGTATTTACAGGCACCATGTTAATATTGTTTTCTAAGATTAATATATTTCAGATATTTAATAGGAAAGTGGGAGTGAGCTGGAGTAAAACGTGGCACCCAGGTCCCTGGGGCTCTTGTGGTTCTTTGGGCCGGGCAGGGGTGAGTGGGGGCTCCACACCCCACTCCAGGTGTCTTCAGGAAGGAGAAACCTAAACTCGGAACCAGGTCATTTTCCTTAGTGTCATGGAAATCTCCGAGGCTGGGTGCTGTTACAAAGGACAGAGGTTCATGAACTTAGTAGTTGGGAGAGTCAAGGAGCGGAGCTAGCCTAGAACTTGTGATCCTTCTGCCGCATCCTCTGAAGGCCTGGGATTATAGGTGTGTGCCACCGTGCCCGGCTGCTATCAGGAATTTTGGAATGTCATCTCTACAGCCATGGTTCGGTGCACACTCACCGTGGAGCCATCCCTGGTGCCTGTGCGCTGGGCCAGGACGGTGTTGGCAGTGGTTGCGTGTTTGAGGAGCTTTGTGGGCTCAGGTTGTGAGGCCACGAGGGTGGGAAGCCTCTGCTACCAGGCCGGGTGCCAGTCACTTTCAGGGACAGTGACAGGAGCGTGAGGAGCCTCAGGCTCCTGGAGAAGTGGTGCTGCCCAGGCCTGCAGGGGGCGCTGTTGTGGACAGTGGTACACTGGGCACAGGGCACCGGAAGGGGCGGAGCCAGCATGTGCTAAGTGCCTGTCCCTTGTGTCTGCCCCGTGGGGAGGCGGGAGGGGTCAGGAGGATCCAGGGCCTGTGCCTCCCCCATCCCCCCCAGCTCCCCCATGGGGACAGGGTAGAGCCTGGTGTGGGGTACAGTTCCTGACTGGCAGTGTGGGGCCCTGTGGTGAGAACAGTTCAGGCACTCTGCCAGGGTAGTATGGGGGTGGGTGGCCACCCTCCCAAACACAGCATGGGGCATGTTTGGGTCTGTTCTGGAACCTTCCATTCTGCAGGTTGGCTGTAGGTTATGCCTTTGGGAGCTGGCCCCAGCAGGCATGGAAGACGCAGGGGTGTGGCCCCAGGACCCTAGTGCCACCCGCCAGCCCTGCAGATGGCGGCTCGGGGTGGGGGTTCCTCCTGGCCTCACCTTGCCCTGGACAGCCAGGGTGCACAGGCAGGGGACCCCCGTCCTGTAAGCACAGAGCACAGAGGGCAGCCAGGACCTTCCCCTTCCACACGAGGCCGGGGTCCCCTTGAGTGTCCCTCCATGACCCCTCCTCGAGCCCAAGGAGGCAGGAGGGACACTGCCGCTGCCGCGCTGGGGACGGCGTTCTCCCCTGGGACCCCACCCTGAAGAATAACAAGACTCCCAGATCTCCGGGATGGGGGTGGGGATGGCACCATCAACGAGTTGGGCAGGTCCCCCAGCCAAGATTCCTGGGTAATTATAAGTGACATGTCAAGCCTCCACTCCTAAACCCCCAAAAGACAGCCCAGTAAGAGTTGGATGGCCTGTGCAGAATTCACCTCCAGGAAAGGGAAGGCAGGAAGGAGCTGTTGGGAGCAAGTGCCTCCTGCTTTTGCCCACCTGCTCCCTGCCGACCATCTCTGCCCACCTCAACAGCTTGGGAGACTGAGCAGGGCTTTCCCCACCCCAGCTGAGCATGGCACCCCTAAGCAGTTGCTCAGTGCTCAGGGCTGGGCCTGTGACCCAGCTGGATCCTTGGGCCCAGCGCCCTACGCTGGAAATGGGCTGTGCCAACTGGTCAGACTCAAAGTCCAGAGCCAGTATGACCAGATCACCAAATGTAGATGCACTGCCCTAAGATTAGATGGGGGCAGAAGGCCCCAGAACCCTCCCCAGGACCCACGCTGGCAAAGCCACACCTGAAGCTGCTGTCATTAGCACATTTCAGGTTTGATACCATGCAGGATCCTCACTCAGACCTTTTGAATGAGTGACATTGTCATTTGGTAAACTTGGTTGAGTAATTAAGACAGAAGTCATATGACTGTTATAACTTGTTAACATTTTACATAAAATACAAATATTGTATTTTTGATGTCACTGAGGTTTGAGCGTAGGTTTTGTTTTTTGTTTTTGTTTGTTGTTTGTTTTTGTGGGTTGTGGGGCTTGAACTCTGGGCCTGGGCGCTGTCCTCAGTCCCTCAAAGCTAGCGCTCTACCACTTGAGCCACAGCGCCACTTGCGGTTTTCTGGTGGTTTATTGGAGATAAGAGTCTCATGGACTTTCCTGCCTGAGCTGACTTTGAACCACGATCCTCAGATCTCAGCCTCCTGAGTAGCTAGGATTACAGGCGTGAGCCGCCGGGGCCCAGCTTTAAACTAGGGTCTTTTGCTTCCTAGGCAGATATTCCTTGAATTATGCCCCCCCAGCCTTCTTTTGCTTTAGTTATTTTTCACTTTTGGGGGGGTTAGTACTAGAGTTTGAACTCAGGGCCTCATGCTTGCTAGGAAGGCGCTCTACCACTTGGCCATGCACCTTGGGCTTGAACTCAGGACCTTAAGCTCACTTGTCTTTCTTCCTCACAGCCAGTGCTGTTCCACTTGAGCCATGCCTCCAGTCAGACATTTTGCTGGTTCATAGAGATAGTGTGTCACAAACTCTTCTGCCCAGGCTAACTTTTGACCATGATCCTCCAGATCTCAGCCTACTAGACTGTTAGAATTACAGATGTCAGCCACTGGTGGCCAGCTGTGGTTGCCTTCTGCTCTGAGAGGAGGGTTAGTATATACTCTGACTCATCGCCACTCAGATATGATAGGATAAGCTGTTTGGACAGTGGCCTGGAGGTTGTAACTCAGTTCTGACTCCTGGAATTGTCTTGAGGAGACAAGCAATACTTCCGAACCTCCGTTTGTGCCATCATGGGAGCTCAGTGTGTGAGGAGAGGACACTCGAAATCCCTGAATGGTAGGGCAATGTGGAGGCATGTCTTTCTCCTGTCTCAGCCTCAGCTCCATCCTCCATTGGCAAGCACACACACTGGCACCTGCCTGTGGCCCAGGCGATGTCCTGCATAACATGTTCCATGAAAGTTCACGCACAGAGACTGAGTACTCGGGTTGCTGTGACTCCAGTTGGCAGAGTCTGACTAAGCTAGTCTCAAGAATTCCTACAGAGCTGGGCACCAGTGGCTCACACCTGTAATCCTAGTTACTCAGGAGGCTGAGATCGAAGTCAGCCCAGGGCAGGAAAGTCTGTGAGACTCTTATCTTCAATGAACCAGCAAAGAGCCTGAAGTGGAGCTGTAGATCAAGTGTAGAGCACCAACTTTGTGTGAAAGAGCAAGCAGCTCTGAGGCCTCAAAATCAAGGCACACACACACACACACACACACACACACACACACACACACACCACACTCCTCCTACAGGACAACCAAAGTAGGAGGGAGCATGTGGCTGCAGAGTTGGTGTCCAGGCCTGCCCAGATGCCCACACACACCCACTTGGCTCCCAGCTCTGCAGGGATGGCCCACTGGCTGATCACCAGCCCCTGCCTGGGGCTGGAAGGCATCTTTTAAGCATATTTGGAGTAGGAACCTTGAGAATGATTTTCTCATCTAGCACAATAAGAATAAAGCTGTTTTATTTTGTCATTAGATGGCAGGCTGTGTCCTATTTAGGTGAATAGCTTCTCATGAAGAAAAGAGTTGCTAGGCGCTGGTGGCTCACGCCTGTAATCCTAACTACACAGGAGGCTGAGATCTGAGGATCACGGTTCAAAGCCAGCCTGGGCAGGAAAGTCCCTGATACTTTTTTTTTGGGGGGGTATGGTCGTGGGGCCTGAACTCTGGGCCTGGGCGCTGTCCCTCAGCTCTTCAGCTCAAGGCTAGCGCTCTACCACTTGAGCCACAGCACCACTTCTGGCTTTTTTTTCTGCTTATATGGTGCTGAGGAATCGAACCCAGGGCCTCATGCTTGCAAACTGTACCACTGAGCCACCTTCCCAGCCCCGTCCCTGAGACTTTTATCTCCAATAAACTACCAGAAAACTGGAAGTGGCACTGTGGCTCAAGTGGTAGAGTGCTCACCTTGAGCTGAAGAGCTGAGGGACAGCACCCAGGCCCAGAGTTCAAGCCCCACGACCAACAACAACAAAAAAGAAAATAATAGTTGAGACTGGGCATGGCGGCTCACCCCTATAATCCCAGCTACTTGGGAGGTGGAGATCAGAACAATTGTGTTTCAAGGCATCCCAGAGCAACAACAACAACAAAAAGTAGCCCATCAAAGTGGACCTCATCTCAACCAACAAGCTGAGCATTGTGATACACAGCTATAATTCCAGCTACATGGGAGGCATTAGGAATAGGATTATGGCCCAGGCTGGCCTGAGCAAAAAAAAAAAAAAAAAATGCCTCTTTAAAACAATAACTAAAGCAAAAATGCCTGGTGGTGTGGGTGCAAGTGGTTGGTGCACCACCTAGCAAGCATTGAGACTCCTAAGTTCAAACTCTAATACTGTGGAGAAAGGTGGTGCGGGGGTGGGGTGGGGGACAGAATGCTAGTAGAAACTAGCTTTGGTGGAACTGCCTTTATTTCAAAGCCATCTGCAAAAATTGGACATTTAAAAAGCAATCTTTAAAAAGCAAGTCATCTAGAGGAAGCCATTTTGCTATTTCAATCAGTTTTCTTTCTTCCAGAGTCTCTTGTTTCTAGAGGTTCTGGGTTTTGAAATGTCATCGGGGCGCAGATTATTAAAGCAGATCCTGGAGTGTCCGCTTTCACAGTTGGCTGCTGCACACTCCGTCAGGGCTTCAAAAAAGAATTTGGTTGAAAAAAAAATTTGCGTTCTAAAATGTTCCCCAAACATCTCCAGGGCCCAGAGTTCCCGCTGTGCCTTGGGAAGGGGGGTGGGGTGGGGTGCTGTGGCATGTGCTGTGTTCAGGTGGCTCAGCTTGCCCAGTCTGCTGTGGATTATTGTACCCATTGTCCAAGTGGGGAAATCGAGGCCCATGCTGTGATGAACTGCCGAGGTGACAGGATTGCTGTCACCCAAACCCTGAGGGAAGATGCAGGAGTTGAAGCCGGCCTCAAACCAGGGCTCTGTCCCACCCGCCCTGCCCAGTCTGTGTGGCTTGGTTGGAGCCGACTAGGCATTCTCCACATCCCTG